TCAACTCTAATTTGATGGGGAATGAGCATACTAGAGAAACGTTTAATATTTCACGTGAAAGTCTATATGCATATATGTATCATAATAATAAATGTATAATATTACAATACGCACGTGAATGCATTATTGCGACGGGAAAACGTCAACTAAAGTCCATGGACTGACTGCGCGATGGACGATGAATACACATATATTATGGGTGATCTTGTACACTTTTACAGGGGCGTTGAACAAAATATTTTTTGAAAAATAACCGGGATAGATAAATTTGCATATATACATATGGATATTTATATAACCTGATCCTTATTAGAGTTAGTAGGGCCAAACTAAAAGCTTATAAAATTTTCGATTAGAAAAAATATATTTTCCAATCTATTACGAATATTAATCAGGATGTAGTATTAAAATCTTGATCAAATTCTTTCCTCATTGTATTAATTAAGTGCTCGATTGGACAGAATTGGCTATAGCACTAATTTAAATGGCATTTAAAGTATCAAATCTAGGCAATTTTACGCCCGAAGCTAATAAAAATGCAGCGCTCTTACATAAGTGGAAGTACGGAGGTATATTCTTGACTTCTTTAGTTTTCATAAACTTAATAACACTCTTATATTTATTGGTGTAAGAAAACTGATACTTAGGACAAGCATATTTACTAGCCGCTTTTCTATATCCGGCACTAGAAAAACAGTCCCTTTGACATATCCGGTCATGTAAGGGTTATTTATGTTCAGTTCACGTGGGTTTTCACGGCTTTTTTTTTTTTTTGTGCGAGAATAAATTGACAATGACCGAAGAAAAACGTTTGCACTTCAAAAGTTGTATTAAACCCTCGAATCGAACAATATAGTCGATTTCAATTTGAGTATATTTTTACATCTCATCTGTACTCTATACAATTGAATAAATCGTGAACAATGTTCTTACTTACCACCGGAAGGACGTTTAATACAAGTTATAAAATTAAAATATTGCTTCGGGAATTCGATAACAGGAGTAGTCATAACAATAATAATAATATAAACAAATTTTATTCTTAAATATGAAATAGTACGTAATATATCGAAAGTTGGTACCGAATTGTTTCCCGTTTAATTTTAGATGGTCGTTGTGATATGTTCTTCAAATTTTCTTTTTAATGAATTTGTCAATTGATGTCGCTCTAGTGAAAAATCATCCTCGTTTTCATGGTTATGTGTTAAGACTTCTTCACATAAACAATTTCACGTACAACCTACCAACTATTAAAAATTTTAATTGTAAATATTTGACCTGAGAACAAATGAAAACCAATTTGGCTCAACTTAATCAAATACCTTTATCAAACAGGAACCAATTCGGTTACTCACATATCCAAGACAACAATATTATTGGATACTGTTTTTCTTTTCTGATCGGGTACAAAAAAAATTAATTTATAATATGATTTTTGAAATACATTAAAATCATATTTATCTACCATGTTAGAAAATGCTAAACATTTTACACTTAAGTACATATTTATTAGATTAGATTATTTTATAAGTCAAAATATGTATATATATATATATATTGTATTTTATTATATACCTATTGTGTTTTGTTTTATACAATATATTATAAAATTATGATATATTATAAAATTATTATATGCAATGTCATAAAGGCGTTTGTACGGGTGAACTTGTGATAAGTTTCAATCGAAAATTATAGTTTCGTCAACCACATTTATCAGTACCAGTACGGCGACGTGCATCCTTTCTTCTTCGGCCGCCAAACTTTGAAGTATAATACGATTGGACCGAGTAAACTTGGAATTAGTCCGTATTGAATACACGCGCATAGGGATGACCTCACGCGAATGACGGGTAAACATCTCTTGCACTTGATGATATTTGTCACGGGGGCCAAACGACGTCTCCGCGGGCTATTATATCATGGATACCGCACCGGAATTGTGTGATTATAATATTATTACAATACAAAAGTCAGGGACCGTATACGCGTTCGCAGGCAAATGCAGCTCTAATCGACTAGTCATTGCGAGCGCGCATTGTTTACAATGTCAATAAATCATGTAGTCAGCAGTGCTTATGATACCGCACCACTGCGACTATAATGAATTAACGATGCACGAGTCAAATGCTTGACTTTTTCAGATAATAACAATTATTTTTGTATCTCTTGTTACGTCCCTAGTTAAAGAGATAACACTCTAAACGCTGTTCATGTATGTCTTACGCGTACTAGTGTCGGTATAGGCATTAGTGCTCTTGATACCCGGATACCCGGGTTTTACGGGTATTACCCGATTTACGAAATTTCGAGTACAAGTATAAAATATGTAAATACATATTTTTTTTAAAACATGATAAATTTCGTTATCTTTTTTTTCGTTGCACAGATAAATAACTGCTATAAATAGATATTATTTTATACAACTTTTTACAACAATTTACTGTTTACTTTTATATTACAGTAAATTAGTAGGTATAGGAATATAAAAACAACATAGTTAACAAAACTTTTCAAACACCTATCAATATTATTCAATTATTATAATTTTTGTATAGTTATATATTTTAAGTTCAAAGCGTAACAATGAAACTATGAATATATTACACGTCATTAATAATATCACAATTATCTTTTTTTTGGCCCTGGGAGTGGGTTTAAACGCTACCTCCCCTCGTATGTAGGCCACTGATTGAAATTACTTATTATGATCTGCGCAGCTATACACATAAAAGGTAACGAATAAGGCCACTATATCCATTATCTGCAAGATTTAAATATAGGTTTTATAATAGCTTTTAACATTTAATTCGACATTATACTTGAATGAACTAATTATTGAAATATAATATTACTAATAACACTCACATAAAATACTAAAGATTTTATTTTTAAAACGTTATTTTGTTAATTTAAAAGAGGAAATATTTTAATATTTTTTATTCGAATAATTGTGTAATGTATAATTTAATACTGATTATCTCTTAGCATTTAAGACTTAGCTAAACCGTTTACGTATATCAAAAACCATCGGGTACCCGAAAATTTTGGGTAATGGGTATCCACTACCCGAAAATGTTGACTACCCACAAAATCGGGCATTGGCGTGTCTACGTGGGAGGCAGGGTGGGCACCGGCTTCCCCAGCGACGTTCTTGACCTCTTGGCTTATAATAGTAAAACCACGAATATATAGTATCTATATACATGACTGAAACAGTAACAGTAGGTAATTTTAGGTAGAAGGTGAATTTAAATTTTAAATTTATTGAATTTTATTATTTGTAATATTTTAATAAATTAATTGTTTAACCAAACTGATAAATAATTGTTTATTTTGTAATAATTGTAATAAGATATGTATAGAAGGTAGATGTATAGTTGATAAAATATTTATAAAAAATAAATAAGTAGCACATTAGTTAATAGACCTTATTTATTAGTTCATAGTTGTAATAGCATAGGAAACCAATTTTAAGATCAAGAAAATCTTTAATTTGACAGGGTGAAAAAATTCCAGGTGCTGTATAATTTCCATACAACAAAAATAAGTCACAAATATAGATATAGATCGCTGCAGTAAGTAAAAAATTTAAATTGTATAACTGACATCCCCCGTACGTACGTATATGATGTATAGGATGTAGGAAACCGATAGTAATGTGGGATTTAAGTAATAAAAATCACTCACAATTTAATTTAATTAAAATAGACACTATATTATATAAATATGTATATACAAATATCGATACACGTTACAATTGCGGAGGAATTGCCGAATATATCGCGGAGTGTAATTCACGGTGCGTCACGGATTGTACTCACGGACTGATTGAATGAGCGTCTGACCAGCCGGTATATGTATATCGGCGTCGATTGTCTAGAACATTCTCGAAATTACCATAACGAGATAATCATCGTATATTCTAGAACATGGGATTTCCCCTTATCCACTGACAATATTGTAAACAACTTGGACGATTCGCGGTGCGTTGTTTACGTCACCACAGTAAAATGTTCATCAACTCCAATTTTGAACCGCCAGATAGTTCTATTTTCTAATCTAAATCGTGCCTATTTATCATAAAGAATTGTTTTCAACAAAGACTTAAACTAATTGTATGTACCTTGCTGATTACAAGTATAATTACCTACCTCTCTAAAATTATCTAATTTTGCTATCAGGCTATCATTTTCCCGATCTCATCTATAAGACAGTATAAATTGTGAATAAATATACATTACACGCATTACGTGATCTATAAATTTATTGTTTACAACGGTTAACTTAAATTTAAAAAAAAAATCACCCACCGTCCAAAGTGAATATCGTACTATTTATTTTAACAATACACGGTCGAATACTTTTTTGCAACAACAACGGGTAGGTACTCGTTTTGTAGATCAATGTTTCCGTTAACCAAAATTAGTACACGTTAGAGATCGTGTGTTACTAATGTTACTTCAACTCGACAAGCTATCAACAATGATGAAATCGTAGTGATTAATATGCCAACAGTCGAAATAATAATATTATCTAGAAATAAAAATTAGTCATCATTTGTTTTGTAAAATTAAAACTGTCGTGGAGGTGCGTTGAACTATTATAAGAAATCCGTCTTCCTCGATTGATATTATAAAAACAATTTTTCATAACTATTACACCTCGGTCCCCAAAAAAGTAAGTAGGTACCTACTCTTCTTCAGCGTTTTCACGAGTAGTTCTCGTTGAATAATTATATCACTTTTGATGTCATAACGGCCATGTGCTAATAATTGTTAACTTTTTGCAATTGTAATGCTCGACCACAAGAGTTTCTAGTTCAAGTATAAAATCATAACACTAACTCGGTTACCCGGTACTTCGCCGCCCTAAAGTCTAGGGTTTTATTTTCGTTAATATACATAACGTAAATGAACGCAAGTGAAATGTGCAGATACCTATTGTGTTATAATTATTGAATTCGTAGTAATGATATTATCGTTCGTTTGTCGTCGCAGGGCTACGGAGTGGTGGGCAACGACGTGTCGGCAGATCGGATGGACTTGTTGCGAGGCCTGGACGGAGCCAAGACGGCGGACACGTTACAGGAAGTGGCAGCGTCCTCAGACGCGGTGGTCACCATGTTGCCGGAGAGCGAACACGTGCTTTCGGCGTACACGGCTCTGCTCGAGTAAGCATGAAGAATAACAGTGAATGTATAATAACGCACTCGTTCGCACGGTGTTCTCTAACCATTGCATGATTCTGGAAAAAAATAGTAGAGGTACTCTGGTGACACATACAAACTGTGCCGTCCCTACCTAATTGAAAACTGAACATTACCGTGTTCACTCCTTTATGACGCCCTCAATCATGTTACTACAAACCGAAAATATAATTTGAACCATTACCTCAATACATATATAAATATATATTGAGTAGGCATGTTTTTTGTCTAAAGAGGCTAAGATCAGTCCGAAATTCTTATAATAACAAAATAATAAGAATAAAAACTATAAGAGTACTATTTAATAGCAATAAGTATGTGATTAAAGGTTGGTGTGGGCCGTTTTATCTGAAACGACTGTAGTCTTCACGTTTAACGATTAGAACAATTAATTAAACCAACAATTGCACGGTGGCAACTTGTTTGCGCACAATTCATAATTTTTACCTGAAAAATTGGAACTCGTTTGCACACACGGTTATATTAAATGTATAACTGGTTTGCGCACACGAAAATAATTATATTTTTGTCACGCCTGTATCGGCTAGTCGCGCAATATAAAACCCGGTGTATGTTATCAACCTTATCGTGGTTAACGACTATCATAGTGTTATACAAACGATATAATATAGACCTAACACAGTACGCCTCGAGAACTTATAGTGTGCATATATAGAATTATTATGACTAACCTATATTTACTGAACATGGATTTAGAAATTAGTGAAGTTTTTAAATCGCGACGAGGAATAACTCACTAAATATCGTGTTTTAAGAAGCGGTGATTTTTATTTTCGTTATACCAATAAAAAATGCAATGGTTTGTATGTTGTAAATAAATTATACACCAAAGTATTTCATGTTATAAATGATCATAGTTAACATAATGAGTATTCGGCAAATTAAATTGAAAAAGAGATGATTCGCAGTGTTGTGAAACGTAAAGCTGAAACAGAGCTACACATTCAACCGAGTAAGATAATAAGATAAATACTTCATTTAAACTAAGATAATAATCTTAAACATAGTGATATTCATTTACTAAGAAATTCTATGTTCGCCGCCAGAAAAAAACAGTTTCCAACACTTCCAAAAAATATAAATTAAGCAATTAATCAGATTAGGGAAATGCAAGAAAATTTGTTATTTATAGGTGAACAGTTTATTAATTTAAGTAAAGACGAAAATGTAGTAATTTGAACTTTTCCGAAAAAGTGTTTTATGCAATGCTCAACACGTTTTTGGAGATGGCACATTTGATTATTGTCCAAAATTGTTTAACCAGTTATACACGATCCATATTTATCAAAATCATTTTTATGTGCCATTATTTTTTTGTTTTTTAAGAGTAAGTCAATTTCATCATATAATACAATGTGGATAACAATTCAGGATCTTTGTGTTCATACGCTTAACCAAGAACTAAATACTAAGTTACAAAAATACTAAAACTAAGTTACATGTAGATTTTGAGATATCCGCACACAATGCTTTACTAAATCTTTATCCCGATTGTAAAATCGTGGCTTGTACTTTTCATTTAGCTCAAAGTGGGTTTCGGCACATTCAAAGTAACAAACAATTATTACTTGAGTATAATAACAAAAATTCCAATATTGGCAATTGGCTTAAAAGTTTTTTTGGTTTGCCGTATTTACCTCCAGAAGAAGTAAAAGTTGCCTTTACACAATTAATATCAGATCGCCAAACGTCAGATTTTTCATTTTCCGACTTCATTCTTGAAACATATATAATTCCCGATTCAAAATTTAATCCTACGTTATGGACAGGACATACAAAAGACGAACCTCGAACTAAGAACGGTGTAGAAGCATTTCATAGACATTTTAACCAACAATTTTACACTCCACATCCCCACATATACTAGGTAATAAGCGTAATTCTTAAAATACAAAGCGAAACAGAATTAAAAATAACATCAATCAACAAAAATATAAATAATTATCGCCGTAAGGAGTCAATAGAATCAATTGAACATCGCATAAACTTATGGACAAAATATACATCTGGCGAAATAGACCAAATTAAATACATTCAAATAATGGGAAACTTATGTTACAAAAAAAAAATAGACATGTATATATTATCCTATACGTATATATACCAATCATATTATATTAATGTCTTCTTAATGTCTATTTGTCATACTACTCTCTTGGTTACTTGTGATCGCTCCAATTTTTTCCGATATTATGAAAAAAAAACTCACTGAACAGTTGAATAATGGTAACAAAGAAATTCGATAAAAAAATAATCGAAATTTTCGTAGATGTTGTCGCGGTTGATAATGCGATCTCACGGCAGCTTTCGTCTGTATTCGTGGTCTTAATAATCGGTTCCAGCCCCGCAATACCCATAAAAAAAGGCTCTCTCAAAAATATTATAGTAACATTTTCATATAATTTGGAGGAAAACGGAACATAATATTTGACGGAAAATGGACGTGGTGATAATAATCGAGGGATAATATGACGGAAACGGTGACACCTCCAATGATATCCGCAGAAGTTAAACTCAAAGAAACGTATATTGCTCGATAATTTCGTAAAATCGAAACGTTAAGGTACGCAATGGTAGAAAAAACGGATTTTATGACAAATAATAAACATAGTGATATACCAACTTTATTTTTTATAAAATATTTTTTTAATTTCTTTTCATTTGATTAACATAACAATGAATTGTTTTTCCTTGGGCTTGATTGAGCACCATATTATACTGCAGCGGATCTCGACCGTTGTTAACAATAATGCGTATATATTATCAAACGGTTGGCCGAGGATGCTATTATATGCGTAGAAATAAAACACCCACGGGTATATTATGGACATTAGCTTTGTCCCTTTGAATCGAAAATTTAAGCTACGGTTACGACTAGATATAAGTTAGTGTAACGGAACGATATATCGTCTTTAAGGGACATTTTCCCGCTTCTGTTTCAGCGATATTTCGATTTGACGCACAGTGTTTTTTCATAATACCGTATCAAACTCCATGGGCGTAGCTAGTAGTAACTAGGATTTCAATCAGTGGCGCAGCCAACTTTTAATCATTAAAACTCGATTTTTTTTTTTTAAAGTATTATTTATTTATTTATTATTAAAAAATCTTTATTAAATTAATTCTTTACAATCTGTACTATAAGTGCACAATAAGTATTTTTTTTTTTTTACATTAAAAAAAGGTGATGAGTGGCTTGTAGACGCTTCACATTAGAAACGCCTGAGTTTGTGGTTTAGGTCTCTAGGCCATTTACGTTTAAGGCGTCTTTCCAGGTTACCTGGTTGCTGATTGGTGTGAAGTTGAGCGATGAGGTTATTTGAATGATTGGCCATTTTGGAGTGGAAACGATTGTAGAATGTAGCAGCTGTTTGTTCGGTAGTAGCTATTTTTAGCTCGTTGTGAAGACTGACGTTGGATACGTACCAAGGTACGTATAAGTAGTCTAAGTAGTCCAAGTAGTCTAAGGACATGTAGGCGGCTGTTCAGTTGTTTGCATTTAGTTTTTAGGTGCAAGCTCCAGGTAAGCCTTTGTCAAGCACAAGACCTAGGTATTTGACTTCATTAGTTTGGGGTATATTTTCGTTGTTAAACGAAATGGGTGGGTAGATTTCCGGGTGGAGGGTGAATGTGATATGAGCTGATTTGGAGTCATTTATTTTGATTTTTCATGAATTGAACCAATGGATTAGGTTGTTTAGATGGTTGTGCAGTTGAAAGTTTGCTTTATGAAGGTTGTGTCTGGAAGAAAGTACTGCGGTGTCGTCGGCATAGGTCCCGATTAAGGTGGTGGCAGAGGTAGGGATGTCCGCTGTGAATAGTGTATATAGAAATGGAGCGATTTCGCTTCCTTGCGGGACACTTGTTGAGATAAACAGTGAGCTGGAAATTGTTGTTCCTAGTTTCACTTTAAAACTTCTGACGTTTAAGTAAGATTTGAAAAGTAGTATGTTGCCGGGAAAATGTTTTTCAGTTTGAATAGTAAACCGTTATGCCATACCGTGTTGAATGCCTGCGCTACGTCTAGGAAGTGACCTAAGCAGTATTTTTTTGTTTCGAGTGTTGAAGCAATATAGTCTACAACTCTGTTTAGTTAATGGAACGTTGCATGTTTGGCACGGAAGCCGAATTGGAATTCGGGAAGGGAATTTTTCTTTTGTGCAATGACAGTGAGTCTCTTGAGAAGAATTTTCTCGAATAATTTACCAAATGTGGGAAGGAGACTGATTGGTCTGTAGGACTCGTGTATATTAGGTGGTTTAACAGGTTTTTGTATGATTATTGTAAGGGCTGCTTTCCAGGTAGTTGGGAAGTAGGATAGACGGAAAATAGCATTAAAGATATATGTGAGAAGGATATTGGTTTTTGGTGGTAGGTTTTTAATTATTGTGTTGTTTTATGCGATAATGACCAGGTGATTTACCTTTTTTTAATTTTTTAATTACCGATAGGACTTCTCCGGGTGAGGCTGGTAACGCCACTGGTAGTGGTAATGAAACGAATTCTTCCACTTGATGTAGGTGAAGAGCGTTAGGTTGGATGTTGTGATGTTTGAAGATGTTGGCTAAATGGCTGGCCAGAAGTTCTGATTTTTCTTGAGGAGTGGTAGCGAAATTGTTATTTTGGTAGCGAAGAAGGGAATGACCGTTTTGTGTTTTAAAAGTGATTTAGTTTTTTTCCATAGCGAACCATTTAAAGGAGAGAGTAATTAGAGATGAGTGGTGAATAAGTAAATTTTGTGCTTCTTTAGAGTAGATTTGAGTCTGTTGGTGTAATAGTTGTAACGTTGCTTGTCGATTAGATAGTAAGTCAAGTGCCGTGCCCGACGTTTGAGCATAATGAGTTCTTTTATTTCAGGAGTTGTATTTTCGTTAGGATTTTCTTGAACTAGATGAGTGTTTGTAGAAATTTGGATGATGTCTTGAATATTCTTTTTCATGGTG